GGGGGGGGGGGGGGGAGGGGGATCTGGATATACGTCTCGACCTCGATGGAGACTGAGGAGTGGTTTGCTGGTCCAAAAACGCACAGAAGGAAGAAAGGTTGGCGGATGTGTAGACGCTACTTTACGCCACACTGCCATGGCGGGATATTTTGGCACTACGCAGGGTGCACGCTACAACACGCAAACTACGCAATGCGTGTCCAAAAATGACTGTGAAAATGACACTATTAGTTGTTAACGCATAAGAAAAAATATTATTGTTCGAAGACGCATACAATGTAATATTTTGTTTGGTTTGTTGCAGGTATCTTGCACATGGTGATTCTCAACAATCTCTTGGTTTTAGTTACAGAGTTCATAAATCTACTGTTTGTAATATTATCTCAGAAACCTGTAGAGCTATCGGTGATGTTTTATTCCACGAGGTTTTGGTTGAACCCAAGTCGGAGTGTGAATGGTTGAATATATCTAAGGATTTTATGATTCAATGGAATTTTCCAAACTGTCTTGGTGCAATTGATGGGAAACATATTATAGCCCAGACTGGAGCATCGTGAGTGGGGCATGGCGGGGTGAATCTGTCCAAGGGCTGCAAAGAATAGGACCAATGGGAAGTAACATGTATGTGATAATGCCAATTCTGTTCGAGACAATTTTACATCTTATTTTATTTCCGAGTTTGGACAGGTTCCATGGCAATATCACGCCATAAATTGAAAAAAATAATACTTAAATAGTCAAGTTTATTCATTCAATAGATCAAATAAATTGATGGTATTACAATTTTCTTTACTTTTATTGTTGTCGATATCGTCTGATTCATATGAAAATAGCAAATTTTCCACACTGATTTTAAAATTGTGTTTTTGTTTTTTACTCAATAGCTTTACTCTTGAGGCTACATACGCTCCATAGATGGTGTCACCGTCTGTCTCCCTATTTGCTAACATATTTATGTTAGCAGTAGTGTTCTCCAAGGCTTGATGCAAACTAGTTTGTATAGAAGAATTTATCTTTTTAGCTCCATTCTTTGAGCTGCTTGGATATTGATTGTAAGCACCTGCTTTTGGGGAGGGCGGTTTTCTGTGGTCAATAGCTGCGATGTTGGTGGTGGTGTGTCTGAATCAGATGAGTCGATTGCGTCGAGTGAATGGTTGGAACATATTCTGTAAAAAAAACATTTTAAACAGAAATAATGTTCCGTATCTATCTATCTATCTATCTATCTATCTATCTATCTACTGTATGCATATAACTTTAAGAGTATAGATTAATCTCAAGTCAAGTTAAGGTTACCTAGCTAGGGAAGCTTAGCTGGTACCACTTATATGCAGCGATTGATATCCATGAGTTGTTGTTTGGAACATACTTGGATTTAAATGAATTTAAATGGAAACTTATTAATTTTCTATTAATACACTTACTTTGATATGGCCATAAATCTATCAAGAAATCCACATTGTTCAAAAAAGGGCCATCTAACTTTAGAACCACTAGCACCACTGCCACTGCGCGCACTATCTCGTATCTTCTTTTTCTGGATTCGGTAACTATCCTTGATTGACTTCCATTTTGTCTTAGCTTCTGCAGCATCTACAAATTTAATCGAGATAATAATAAATAAGCTTGAGATTCATCCTGATCAACAGAGAAATTCTACCTATAGGAGATATTACCCTGACCTATTGACCAGCCATGTTTAAAATAGTTCACGCGTAGACATTAATACCGGAAGTGAGACGAAACGACGGGTGCATCTTTTCACAGCCGAAGACTACCGAAGACTACGCACGGCGAAACGACTTAGACTTAATGTAAACAAACCGCATGTAGACGATTCAAGATGGATTCCACACCGCTCAAACCAATTAATCCAGCCTGTTGTCTGGGGCAGGTACGTTCGAGCGATCAATAAAATTAAGGGAAATAAATCAGTAAAACAGACTGTAAAACTTAATTAAACATGGTATTTTTTTAGACACATTTGAAAAGAATGAATTTTATTTGATAAATACTAAGTGAATAAACATAAAAATGTAAGCACAGTAATGTTAATGAGGACGAAATAACTCATTATGGTGCGAACTGTCTTTAAAAATCCTCCTAATCGTCTTTCCGGTTTCTAGTTTCGTAACTCAGATACGCTTCCACTCTTAAAAATAGTTCGGTATTGCAACTTCTTCAGTAAATACACACGGTTAAAATTGGGAATATTTTGAGCATTTGAGAATTTATTGATATCAATCAGACGTTATAATATTTAATTTGATGCATATTTATCATTCAAGCTGTAGCCTTGGACAAGATGGCTTGTGATTAGGTTCGTGTCTAGATCTGCGACTATACGGAGCTAGGCAAGATGCGAAGTTTCGTATGCTTGAGATTGAGATTGAGAGTTTGACTTGAGACTGGGCGATGTGGTAGGATGAACAGATACTAGATAGATCGAGGTCTAAATACACATGTAATGTAGGATTACCTATATTAAATGCACTTGAAATAAAAGACAATGCTTTTATGAAAAAACAAAAATCTAGCCTTCTTCAATGCTAGGTCACCTAGTTTAGTAGCCTAGCCGTAGGTGGGCAAAATATTGTAGGTAGACGCGTTTGCTTACCTTTTAGTTGGAACTGTTCTGCCAAATCTGTAAAGGTTTTCTCACTGATGTCTCTATTCATATAATCTGGATGAGTAGGATTAAAAATAAATTCATTCTGACGAATTGCATTGATAAATGCTTCTTTATCAAAAGACGACTTCATCGACATCGACATTTTGTTCAGTCTGTTCAGTGATGACGTAATAACGTGATGACGTCAGCGTTCCAGTGTCTTTGATTGGCTGCGAAGAACAAAGCGTAGCGAAGAAGTAGGATCATATCCAACTCCTTCGCTTAGCTCGAAAATGGGCTTGCGGTGATACGGCGAAAGTGAAACTTCACTTCTTAGTGTAGCTTTAACGCGTGCTTTGATCAAGCTTCGCTTAGAGGAGTATAAACTGGCCTTAAGACGTCAAAAGGCGTTCACCGGGTTTAGAGTGCGAGACAAATAGATTGAAAAAAGTTGACCGACATATAAAAGTTATGAATGAAAATGATAATCCAATCATACAAGAAGAAAAACACGAAACGGAATATTATGGTCAAGATAGGTCAATCATAAGACATATAGACGAATTCTTGGTAGAAGGAGAAAGTAGTAGTGGAGAAGGTATAACTTTTTTGTCCGATGATCCTGAACAATTACTTAATATAATTATTGAAGCAATAAAACATGGACATCAATCTAATTTCAATAAAATACGCGACTTTTAAAAAGATTATTAGAAAAAGGAATCATAGTTAAAGACGATTATAAAAATGTTTTGGATCATACGATTTCAATAATGTTTACAAAAATGGACGAAGAATTTTTTATAATAACATCTAAATCCTCGATATAGCCTCTGGGACTGTGTTGTGTAATTTTACACAGATTTCGGCTTTGTCAATACATCAATGTTGAATGAGGTTTATTAACAGTTATAATAATCACAGTACAATACAGTGGTCAGTAGTAGTTATTGGTCTATGGTAGATGATAATAATAGGAATAACATATCTAAGAACTGATGATACAGATGATGATGTGATATGATGATTGACTAAAAAGACAATAATAAAATTCTTAATTAGACTTTAACTTTATCAATAACTTGTCTTATGACTGGTGGGGTGGGTAACGCCTGATTGCTGGCATATGATTGACTAGGATGACTTTGACTAGATGTATGCTCCTACTATAATCTTGACTATAATTACAATTAAGACCCAAACTTGCAGTCTATGTAACTCTTACAATAACATAATTGTCTTTCTTAGTTTCATGCCATAATAAAATGATAGGGCTGTCGGCTTTTTAGGATATGGGTCTAATCCAAGCTGTTTTATGCTTATTTCTGCTCAAGTCCATGCAAAAATAGCCTAAGTATAGCCTAAACTTAAATTACAGATATCAACTTAATTAACAAACCATATTATGAGCCTATCAGTTTTCTTTGAGGACATCAAAAAACTTGACTTTAACTTTCTTTGACTTTGGAACTTTCCAGACTAAAAACTTTTCACAGAAAAAGGAAGTAGACTAAAACTTCCAGCAAATAAATATTTAAACAATACTAGATTAACCAGCCTCTAATGGCCTATATGCCTACTATCCACTGTGCTATTAGAAGTGTGTTATGTTGGTTATACTGCTTTGACTATTGATTCACTATTAAAGATGCATATTTGACCTAACATACCGGCCTCCTAATCGGTATAACATTCCGATTACCTAAAACAAATAATAATGGTCAAATGACTAATAACTTGAACAAACAAATTGAGCATTAAGCCCTAATATATTAACAAACATTACATATCAGATTCTAATATAACAGCAATTTTATCAACTGGTCTTTGTAACAAAGTAGTTTTGGTTTTAACGTTAACAACACGAACCAAACCTTTACGATCAGTTATAACACTATCGACACGACCTAGCGTATATGAGCTTCGGATAGCGCTATCAATGATCAATACTATATCATTAACTGCTACATTTTTCTTTGAGCTACCCCACTTTTGTCTCAATTGTAAAAGTGGTAAATATTCTTTAGCAAAACGTTTCCAAAATATATTTGAAATATATTGAATTTGTTTCCAACGTTTATTGGAATAGTTATCTGTTTTGTCAAATATACCACATGGTAAGTTTTCTCCTGACCGCATTAAGATCAAATGATTAGGAGTTAATGGTTCAGGATCTGACTTATCATTTGATACTGTTGAAATTGGCCTATTATTAAGGATTGATTCTACTTTACAAAAAAATGTAAGCAATGATTCATCATCAAATGGAACCAATTTTTCCTTAACTACAGAATACAATATCTTCCTAACAGACCGAATGAGCCTTTCCCACACTCCTCCGAAGTGAGAACCGGCAGGTGGGTTAAATTCCCATTTCACATTCTGCACTAATAAGCTTTTTGTTAATTCGGGAATGATTCCAAGCATCCATAGCTTCTTTAAGCTCTCTCTGAGCTCCCACAATGTTAGTGCCATTATCTGAGCGAATCAACTTTACAGACCCTCTTCTTGCAACGAATCTGCGTAATGCATTTATACACGAGTCTGTGTTCATTGAATGAGAAATTTCAAGGTGCACAGCTCTTGTTACTAAACACGTAAAAATATACACCATAACGCTTAACGTAGCTTCTACCACGCTTTATCTNTAAAGGACCAAAAAAGTCCATGCCAACAC